CAGTTTGCGAAGTGCGGCATAGACATTTAAAATGCATATATTGTTCCCCATTTCAATCAAATTGCATGATATTAAATTAGGATTCCAACACACTAAAATTCGCCCCCCATCAATAAAATCATGGTTTGTTTCAAAAGACCAACCGGGCCATTTATTAGAGACATAGTTAAAAATATTTATTTTTGTCATTTTGGTTTCTAAAAAAAACATAAGCTTGCTTGGTGAAATTTAACTAAATTTGAAATAGTAGAGTGTTTGGAGGGTTTTTTCAAACCTCTCACATTCCATACTATTGCTTTAAAATTCATCCGAGACCGATTCGTTGGAGGATTGGCAGCCCTCCTTATTCGCCCCTTCCTTACTTTTTTTGATTGCTTCAAATCTCCTCATTGCCTCCTTGAAATACTTCTTGTTTTCCCTAGTTGTTACATAAAAAAAAGAAGCCACATAAGTATAAAAAATGCTATGATTAAATTTATACCATTCATAATGTGGTGTCACTCTCGATAGCTTTCGGAGGCATTCATCCGTGAATGAGATTCCTCCCTCGTCATCCCTCACTTTTTGTAGTTCCGGTCCAAGCCTCTTGATTTGGTGATGCGATGGGATCTCATTCTTTTGCATTACATATACGGTCTTCTTTTTGTTATCATCATAAACGATTCTAGTGACCACATCTCCCTCTTGAATATCATATACATTGCGAATGATCTCTCCCCCCAATTCATCAAAGCTAATGTTCCCACTCTTCGGAAAATTGATAGCCTTTTCACTTGATTTGTTCCCGGAAGATGCCTTTGAAGTCTCGGCAGTTTGTTTAGGAACGGTGAGCCTCGGTGCAATTTTTACTGCCTCGGCAGTTTGTTTTTGGGCATTGGCAGCCTGTTTTGAGGCCTGGGCAGTAGGGGTTGTGGCCTTAGGTGTAAAGGTTGAAGCCGCGGTATTAGTTGTAGGCGCCTTAGGAGTAGGAACCTTTGGCGTGATCAAGTTGCGCACATTTGCTTTGGGTTTAGAGACCCATTTCTTTTTCTTCTTGGCCTCCACCCACTCCCCATTCTCTTGCACATCATTCTTTTTCTTTTCAACCCATATTTCCTTCCCTTTGCCATCATCCTTTGATTTCTTTCCACTCACATTGAAGCCTTTTTTCCCTTCGGAATGTCACCGGGTTGGTTGGGACCCCCCTCTTTTGAGTTGTTAGCCGCGGCATTGGCTGCCCTTACAAAGTTGTTGGTAGCTTTTGCATCATTAGTCACGGCTTTAGCATCCTTGACCTCACTCTCTACCAACTCCTTGTTTAACACTTTGCATGTAAAGGGGTGATGTCCATAAACCTTGCACTCAAAACAGTAGTTAGGAAAAGTTTCATATATGACATATTGATTCCTTTCCTTACCGGATGGTTGCATAATCGGGATGGACATAGTAGGCGGCCTAGTGAGGTCAACCTCCACCAATACCCTAGCAAATTGAGACCTCGATTTTTCTTGAGTCACCTTGTCCGCTACAATAGGAACTCCAACTCTAGAGGCAAGCTCACTCATCTCTTGTTTGTTCCAAAGTGTAACCGATAGGCCGGGGAATTTAACCCATATTGGGACTTTTAAAAATTCCTCACCATCAAAGTCAAAGTCCTCGGATAATATCCTTAAGAACACGGCCTTACCATAAAGGGCATAAGGCCCTTCGGCCATGACTTTGTTACGGTCATTCTCACTTTGAAATTGGAAGATCACCCACCCTTTTTCATGTTGCTTGAGCTTGCATGGGACTCCCCATTTGATGGATAGATCATGGAATGCTCGCATGCCCGGAAATCTACCTGAAACAAACCCCACCAAGCAATACCCCCATATATCAATAATAGTAGGGAGTTTTCTATGAGAGAAATCTACCTTTTCACCTTTTGGAGGGATATATTCCAACTTCATGCCATGCTCAATGGACCGGTTGTTTTGGAATAATTGATTCCAAGCATTCTTCTTTGGCTCTTCTTTCTTTTCTTTGTTTCCAACCTCAAATAGGGAATCAACACTTCCCGTTTCCACATCATCCTCATCTTCCACAAGGCCATCAATTTTTGTATTTTCCATCCTTTGCTCCTCTTGAATTTGCTTGAAGGAGAATTCAATAGACCCTACTTTGATGGACTTCTCAAAAGTAGGATCAATATGCGTAGCCTCCACCGGTTTGGACACCCCCGAGGAGGAATCCTCCACCATAGCTTTGAGGGAGACATCCTCCATCACTTGTGGCTCCTTAGTAGCATTGACCTCATGTAAATTGATCTCCTTTGTTATAGGTGCAGTTTGCACCGTTAGCTTGGGAGCAATTTTAGCTTTCCTGGATGTTACTTCCTTCTCACTATTCTCCACTTCTTTCTTGTTAGCCTCCATCTCGGCTTTTCTTGCATCCAACTTCCTTATTTTGTCATCAAAAGCCGAGTCTTTAGATGGCGGTGTACGAGATTGTTTATTGTGCCTAGTCATTGGACAATACACATTCCTTGTACAAGAGCTTGGCTAATCGACCTGCAAGAGTTAGCACACACAACAACAAACACCAAAGACTTGGGAGTGCAAAAGTTTGGTTCGTACCTTGGGCAAGGTGTACTTGAAAAATTCTCAAAGTACTCTAGGAAGTATCCCAAAGTATGGCAAGTCCCTAGGTATGCCCAGTTGCACCAACGGATAAGCACAAAATAAAGTAGACACTCCTAGCACGCTTTGTGCACTGTAGCAACCAGTGAGGTCCGGGAATTTTGGAAGTATTCCAAAAATTCCCAAACAATTTTTGGGGGTCCTCCTTAGTATTTTAAGCAACCTGGTAAAGTTAGGATAAACAAAAACCAAGCACAAAATGCACTTCCTTTGAAAATCAGCAAACGGAACTCAAGGAAAAACAACAATTTGATATTTCTTACTACATGCAGCTGCCTGGAAGAGTTATATTAAGTTACACAACCAGTATGAAACACAGTACAAATGTAACTAGTACTGGATGTACTGTAGCAGTCTTCCAGGGAACCTGGAGAAGATGAACATTTCCGAGAAAATCGGAAATTCCCAGAAAATTCTGAAAAAAATCCTAGATACTCACCAAGTAGTAGGAAACACAATAAACCAAGTAGCACTTCCAACAGAGTAATGAACCCAGGAAAATTCGAAACAGTAATCTGACCTACGTTCCAAGCTACAGTGTCCAAGAAATTGGGGAAAACGTGAAATCTTACCCAAACTTGATGAAACCGGTAGTAATAGCTTCGTCTTGGTCAGATGGTTCCAATGGAAGCCTCAGATTTCAGTTTGAACGTGCAGATTTGAAGAAATCTGAAGGTCAACGCCCTGGCGTGAACAGTGCACCGTCCCAACGGAAAGTTGATTTCTCCGGTACGGCGGCGTTCTGGTGGCCGGAAAACAAGTCCTGGAGGTTCGCCAGAGGCTGGCGACCCCCAAGCTATCTTCTTCTTCCACAAACAACCGTCAAAGTGTTGGATTCAAGCACGCTTTCTAAATCAGGAATGAACAGTGAAACCGTGAACTGGGGCTTCTAAAACCGACGATTCTCGCTCCAGAAATCAGTATCCTTCAAAATCAATCGGTAGGGATGAAAGATAAGAGATTTCCGAGCTATAGAATCACAGGTTTGCAGGATTTAATTCGTGGATTGATTCATGAGAGAGCAGCGAAGTAACGAGCAAGCTAAGGAAGTTCGCGATGCGTAACTTTCTTAGAGAGAAGGATGAGCGTTTCTCTACGCGTTACTACTACTGTGCAACACACTATTGTTTGTGGCGATTTGGTAGGATTGAATAGTTTTAGATCATATGACTAAATCTTCTTTATGGCAGTGCCTTTTTAGCTGATCAAGGCTTGTAGTAGTGGTACGGCAAGAAGAAGTCACTGTGATCGATTTGGAGGAGTGTTGGTCTTCAATTGCTTAACACCATAAAAAGAAGTCATGGAGTCCATGATTAACTAGTACGACACTTGGCTACACAGAGGCTTCTTCTACACTTTTAATTGCTTAGTATCAGAGAATGTTATGAATAAGGAGAAATGAGAGAAAGAAGATGCAATATTATCATCTCGTCTCTCTCCCAAACCGTCGTCGTAGAGGAATCGTGTGATTAGGGTTTGGAAGATGTTGTTTCAAGTTTGGATTTTCTTTAATTATCTTGCTCTTATTTTTATTTTCCATTTTGATCTAAATGTTGTTTTGGTTGTTTTCTTTATTTCTAATAGCAGAACTCTAGAGTATAGGTTGGGTAATGAAAGGTCTATTACGTTCGTCATTTGCTCAATTAAGCTCATTGTAGGATCAACGAGTCATATTGTTTTTTTGAAGTGATAGACTCTGAATCTGATTTGAGGGCATGCGGTCAGATAGGGACTTTTTGTCTTTTTGTATTATGTATGAATTCAGATTATTTATAAGTCACTTTCTTCCAAAAAGGCTATTGATTAATATGTGATCTAGCTTTTTTTTGTCCAAACTTAAAGAGTCATTTTTTGTCAATTGAAAAGATAGAGTAATATTCCAATCATTTTTTCTAATTGATACTCCCTCCGTATTATAAAGATAATCTATAGATTTATTGTACATTTTTAAAGTAGCGGAGTTTTAGCACTGCAGCAGTACTGTTTACTTTAATTTATTAAAGTGTATTGTACTACATAGTTCTTTTTGGAGTGAACTTATTTCCTAAAATGAAAGTGAGACTTATTTTGATACGACCAAAAAAAGAAAGTAAAACACTTAGTGTGATACGGAGATAATACGTAGTATATAAATTGGTAAAATGAGAAAGTAGAAATGTGTGATTTTTTTCATCTATCGACAATTAATTCAATTTTTAGTTATATAAATTTATATATCCAGAAATTGTATTGAAATTTGTTTGAAGGTTCAAATTACAAATTACAACATCATAATTAAGTTAATAAAATGAAATTATATAACTTAAAAATATTAATTTTACAAATCCATTGGAGAGGGATGAATGCAAGCCAAATTGAGGTTTTCTTCTTGCGAGGCAATAGAGCGCTAGTGTTGTTCATGTTACAGAATAAGGACAGCGAAGCAGGTTAAGCTGGCGATCGGCGGTCGGAATGGCGAGGACACCAATAGGTTGTGAACCGGTTGTTGGATCGCTGACGCCCTCGAAGAAGAAAGAGTATAGGGTGACTAACAGGCTCCAAGAAGGCAAACGCCCCCTTTACGCTGTCGTTTTCAACTTCATTGACTCTCGTTACTTCAACGTCTTCGCTACCGTCGGTGGCAATCGAGTAACTCCCGCTAACTCGCAGCTCTCTTTTCACAGCTCAAGAAATTTCATGTCTTAAAAAAACACTTCTACTAACCTGAGATGGATGGAAATTTACTCATAGAAAACGAAAGGTAAAATTCGAAGATTTCATGAACTGGGTTCATGTTTTAAAATCTGCTAGAGTTCCATCTTCTTCAGGACTTCAATAAAAAAGTGGGTGACATTTTCTTTCCTTCCTGCTAGAGTTCACTACCTCCTCCCTGCTGGTTGACACTAATATTTTGAGAATAATTAAATAAAGTAATTCGAGTATATTTTGAGAATTAATTTTGATGGGTGTATGGCACAATGAGGTTGATAACAGTGATGTGAAGGTGTGTTATTTTTAGGTGTCAATGTGTCATGTGGTAATTACATAGAAGTGGGATGTAGTCAAGTAGGAAGTAAGCATGGACAGAGGGAATACTACATTATGTATGTGGCCATCATTTTGTAAGATTTTTTCCTATAGAAGTTTTTTTCCAAAAAGTAATCACAAATTAAATTCTCCTCGCTGCTACATTCGTGTAGTGAATTAACAGATGGGATTCTGAACATTCTTTCCATCCTAACATTATAAATCATATGTTTTCTCTTCTAGCCAATTTCAAAGTTAATAACTTATGGTTGAGCTGTCTTGATAATGATTTGTATTGCAATGAATTTTGCATTTCTGTCAATTTATTATGATCATGGATTTCTAAAGGTCTGACTCAGATTACAGATTGTATTCTTTTTATCAAAAAAAGGAAAAGAAAAGAAAAGGTCATGGACCTGAAGGTGAAAAGAAAAGAAAAGGACTGAGAGAGCATTGTTAAGGATGTATGTGTGCAAAATTGTAAACAGAGCGTATCAGAAATCCGTTTTTGAAATACTCTTTTTGAATTTTTATTGGTCAATGGCCACCGACTTGTCCCAAAAATAAAATCAATATATTCAATAATAATAAAAGGATTCACAATAAAGGTGGCTGAATATCTTTTAGAACCTGTATTGGCCCACGGGTTCTGGGGTTTTAAGGGTTTCTACTTGAATAATAGCAGTATAAATTAACTTCTTGGAATTCGTTTTGGTAGCACAAATTCTCATTCTCAGTTTTAAGACTTGTAGACCTTAGAGCTCTTTGTTTATACACTAATATGGGATAAGATTGTAATTTAGGGCTTTTAAAAATTTGTTCTTTGTATATTAAATGAAACCATGTCCTATCATCTGAGCTAGTGATATTGTAAAAAATCTTATTATTATAGACTGTGGAGTGAGCTAAAAGTGAGGGAAAGCTTTATGATGGGATTTACAGGAAAAGTAGAAAAAAGAAATGGCAAAGGTATCAACTACTGTGAACCAACTGTGGGATCAATAACTCTGCCTGCCAATCCTACCAAAAAGAGTGTATGGACTAACCAACAACATTGAAGAAGAACAATCCTGTTATATTCCATGTTATCAACTTCGTTAGTTAATTTTTTACTTCAACTGCTTCAGTTGCAGAGAAAACCAAGTGATTTACCTTATAATTTACCCCCCACCCACCCATTTATTATCTCCTCATTTGATTGCATACACTTTTTCAGAAAGCAGAAACTAGGCGGTAATATCAACCACAAGCGCTGTCCTAAAAAGGACAGATGAGATGATTTAGGAATGGACAAAATAGGAAAGGATGAAGATAAAATAGGGAGTACATTTGTTTTATCAATTGGGAACAAATCTCATTATATTCTCATGTTTTTTCCCCAATTTTTTCGCATCATTTTGGTTATTATTATGAAAAGTTATTTTGGATTGTTCCCGTTCTCTATATTGTCAGCTTTTATTTAGCGGAGCCTTTTCTAGAGTTTTTACTAGCAGTATGTGAATTTAAGGAGCACTCTTTTACCAGCTACACTTAAAAAAGCCAGCCTGGTGCACATTGGCGTACCAAAAACATGAGGGTCTTGGGAAAAGTCTCAACACCAGGGTGTATAAGGAGCAAGTCTTCCCTTGTCATTTTGAATGACAAGAGGCTGCTCCCAAGGCTTGAACCCGTGGCTTCTGGGTCACACAACAACATAGTAACCCGGTGCGCCGAGGCTCCCCTTCCACCTACACTTTTTTTTTTTAAAAGTTGGTTTTCGTATCACCACCGCTTCACTGAATCCTCAATTTAAATAGTACTTTGTAGTGAATCTTGCAATTTATGGTGACCTCAGGACTAAAATCTGAACATTTTGAAAGTCACTGGTCTAAACTGCCAAAAATATATTCTGACTTGGCTAGTTATACCAATCCCGGTACTTAGGAGACCATCAATGCATTTTACCCAACTTCATGGTAATAGATAATCATGGTTGGTGAAGCTTTACTTAATTTGCTGTACACATGTAAGCAACTGATGGCTGCTTTTCAGGTGACTGTATACCAATGCTTGGAAGGTGGAGTCATTGCTGTATTGCAGTCTTACATCGATGAAGATGTAGGTACCTTGAGTCTTCTAAGTTTTATTTATTAATGTGTAATAATGCAGAGTATATTGTATCGGTTGTTAGGCATTAGTTTGGATGGAGGATTTTGAAGGAATGAACTATATGACTATTCTATATCTTGAAAATAGATTTTTTCGAAAAATAGGTAGAGGGTGTAATAGGTATAGGAAAGTAGAAAGCTATAGAGAGAAAGAGTATACTGAAAAATGGCAGGGCAGCCATAGAAGTCTAAATTTGGGAACCTCTTTTCACAAGTTGGAAGGTACTCCCTCCGTCCCAATTTATAAGATACTTTACGGTTTACGATGTTTGACCGACGATACAACAAATTGATTCCTGTCAACACTCAAATTAGTTTTAGAAAATAAAATTTACATATTCAGAAACTACATTAAAACCGCTACAAAACTTGCATAAAATAATTCAAATTTCATAAACTTTTGCTGTATAAAGTAAAAGATTAAGAGTGATTTATGTTGACCAAATGAATAGTAAATATATCTTACAATTTGGGACTGAGGGAGTAGTATTTATAGAAAGTAGATGACTTGGATTATAAGCTAAAATATCTAAGCTAATAGAAAGATGGCATGTGTCCCTTGATTGTCTTGGGGAAAGGACGATGACGTTAGTGTGATGCTGAGATGGTGTCAGCTATGGAATCAGCGTAATGCTGGAATGTGTGACTGAATCATCCAAAAATTTCTAAGGATGTTTTCTTTTGGATTGAAATTCGCTGGTCTGGTCTCTTTAAGTCAAACAGGTCTGGTCTGGGACCGAAAACAGTCCAAAAGTAAACATCTTAAATGTGGAAGTTGTAGTCGAGCCCGAGACGAATCTGATCTGCCCGGCCTCGCCTGAAGAGTCTATCTGAGCCAAAGGGGCAAGCTTGTCCGCTTGCCTAGTCGTGAGTGGGCTTTCCCATAAGGTGTTGGGTCCCAATCACTGACCTAGGCCTCAGACGAGTGCTTTGGTCTTGGTAATCGGGTTTGACGGGCTTTGTGGATTTGACTGTCTCTTTGGATCCTGGGAGACGTGGCAATATACTCCATTAGGGCGATAAGAACATTATATGATCATCTAGTATGCTATTCCTTCAACTTTTAGTTTTTTGGTACATTGGAAAGATGCCTTCAATTTTTTATTAAATCTTAGATACAATGACTTAGACATTCAAAAACCTCCCTTCCAAAAGCCTCCATCATAGCAATCCCTAAATACACCCTCTTGTGTATGTAGAAGATAATTTGTCTTTTTCATGCTCTTTTCGGACCAGAAAGATGAGTCCTTTTATACTGTCAGCTGGGCATGCAATATTGATGGGACCCCATTCTTGGTTGCCGGAGGATCCAACGGAATTATACGTGTAATTGATTCTGGCAATGAGAAGATACACAAGGTATTCTATGGTTTCCTTAGCTCTATTCTATCGTATTTTAGAAAAGGTTACTACTGCTCTTGTTTACACAATCATCATCATCATCACCCCAGTGCCGCAAAGGCTCCCAACTACGGTGGGGTAGGGGGTCAGATGTACGCAGCCTTACCCCTGTAGTAAAGCACAAATAGACTGTTTCAGGATGACTCATGGTGAAAATTACGTCTAAAATTGCATTGACTAAATGATGCTTCATAACAAAGAAGCGCAGACAGTCTAGTGAGCCATTTTTCTTATTTATATAATTTACATAATAAGTACAAAATATTGAACTGGACATATATTACTGGCAATGCTGTTGTGTAAGGATCTAGGATCCACATGTTAGATTGTTAGGTAATACTAACGAACACATTAAGATATTTCATAAATCACACCATTAGCGTTATTAATTTTGTCCATTCATTCAGTCTATGCTTGGAAGTAGGTATTAGGTAAGTACTCCCTTTGTCACAAAACGGAAGATACATTTGGTGTTGGCACATTTTTTTCAAAAATAAAGGAGATATTTAGTACTCCCTCCGTCCCCCAATTAAGTTCTCACTTTCCTTTTTGGGCAGTCCCACAATTAAATTCACACTTCCCTACTTCCCTTATTTGGCAAATTATCTACATCAAAACAGTGTCAAACAGTGCAAAACAGTGTCCAAACAGTATCCAAACAGTGTCGAAACAGTAAAATTTACCCTCAGTAAATTTATTTTCTTAATATGTGTGAAATTCATCCCGTAACTTAATTGCGGGACGGAGGAAGTATTTTACAACGAACAATATTGATTTATTCTGTTTTAGCACTCTGGACAGCAGGACCAATTCAGTGCTTTTGTGTCTTCAATGTTTTGGCCACAACTTTTCGCTCAGGACTCCGAATTCAGTGCCACTTTCACCTGTATTTTTGCTTTTGCGTCTAGAGTGCAGCAGCAACCTTCTTGAGTCAATTCCAGATTCTGAAATTGCCCAGGATTTTTCCGAAGAAATTCGTATCATCCGGCTTCGGCCCTTCATTGCCTTGCTCAAAACTCGCTCAAACGGGGTCAAAATACCTGTAAAACCATATAAAACCGCAAACCCGCAGAGTACCCACAAAGATATAAAAACTAAAGGGTTTTCCCACTAATTAGTAACAAAGTAGCATCACTCGTGGACAAAACCGTGCCAAAACTATGCCCAAATTGAGTCGCAATTGCAACTCATCAGACCAGTATACAGAAGGAAGTAGTATCAGTAAAAGGTGGAAAATTTGAAATGACAGGTAAAAGGATAAAGTGAAACGCAAAAAGTTAAAGGAGTTCAAACTAATATAGTTGTCTTAATTTTTCGGACATAAAAAGGGAAGTGTTCTATCAAAATGAGGGAAATGGAGAAGTAGGGAAAGTAAAAAACTGAAAAATGCTTTACAATGTTTGGTTTAATGGTTTTACTGTAGAAGTTATAAAGGAAAATCTAGTGTCCCCATACGTTTTTTAAAAACTACATATATTTTGATTTCTTGTCAAATATTTAAATAAAAGTGAGTTTGAATGCATGTAAAATTGATTTTTTATTTTGAAGATAAGTTTCTTTATTAATTCCTCCCCACATTTCTCTTTCAATTTCCCTCCGTATTTTTCTTCTCCAGCTTGTTTCCATCGCTTGCAATGGAGTCAAAGATTCACTATTTTTGGCTTGAGAATATGATGGAATAAAGCAAAATCACTCACTAAACTGTCTGCGCTTCTTTATTGTGAAACAACAGTCAGTCCATGTATTTTTCGATGCAATTTTCACTATGGGTCATTCGGAAATAGTCTCTTTGAGCTTTAGTACAGGGGTAAGCCTTTGCGGCACTGGGGTAATGATGATGATTTTTCTTCTCCAGCTTATTTGGCGTTCCAAATAGACACTTGGTCATTTCTCTTGGGTAAATGTGCAGAGCTTTGTTGGTCATGGAGACTCAATAAATGAAATTAGGACTCAACCGTTGAAGCCATCACTTGTTGTATCTGCAAGCAAAGTATAATTTCTTTGTCTTTGCTTCTCTTGTATGTAAATCGATGCAAATGTGTTCTTCTTTTAACTTTTTGGGGAAAAAACCGTCTTCTAAGATATTTATCATGTTTTACTATATATATATATATATATAGAGAGAGAGAGACTGATTGTTTGTTAACACATAATTTAAACACTCAAATGAAACTTTACCGGAAAGAGTAACAATGGTCTCATCTCACGCGAATTAGATCACAATCACGTATGGAGCTCGGAAGACTTGATTAAGCTCTTAGGGACTCTAAGGGGGTATTGTTGTATTTTAGGTTGGTTTTGGTTTGCATGTTTTCCCCCTTCTAGCTACTTTGTTCCTATTTTCTTTTCGTGTAATTTCCTTGCTCTTTTTAATAAAATTTTCTTCTCCAAAAATAAATACTACCTCCGTCCCTTAAAACTTTGCCAACTATCTACGTAGTATTTTTTATTGTGTCACTAACTTTGCCACTTTCCCTTTTAAGTAAAGAACTTGTGGTTCCTTGTGCTGGTCAAACTTGGCCTTGTTTTAAGGGGCAGAGGGAGTATATATCTTTAGTATTTTTTAACAGTATTATAATATATGATTTTGGTTCAAGTGAGAAATGCATATAATGTTAGAAATAAGAATGAATCTCAACAGTTAGATTTACGATATTGCACTAAAAATAGCTTCATGTTGCAATAAGATTTAAATTTTGCAGTGTTGCACTAAAACTGTTTTATTGTTGCACTAATATATAGGTGAACTGATAGGTATATATATATATATATATATATATATATATATATATATATATATATATATATGTATATATATGTATATCAGAGCGCTGAATTTCTTCTATATATATATATATGTATGTATGGTATTTTGTTTGACAAACAAGTGGGCCAGGATGAGTCAGTTCGGCTGTGGAATGTTCATACCGGAATTTGCATATTGATATTTGCCGGTGCTGGTGGCCATCGCAATGAAGTCCTCAGTGTGGTAAAGTTACTCTTCCACCCTTCAATAATCAATATGCATTTCTAACTTCCTCTATAGTGTGATAAGTACTTTAATTGTATCATGTGTATATAGGACTTTCATCCTTCTGATATATTTCGCATTGCTAGTTGTGGGATGGATAATTCAGTTAAGATCTGGTCTATGAAAGGTGATATATTTGATTAGATGGTTTATTGAAAAAGTTCACTCCTTTAAAATTGTTGAAGTAAAGTGATGGAGAACTCTTGTGAATGCTCCTTACAGAATTCTGGCCTTATGTGGAGAAGTCATTTACTTGGACCGATCTTCCATCTAAGTTCCCTACAAAATATGTACAGTTTCCTGTAAGAAGTTGGAATTTTCGTGCCGTTTCCTTTTCGTTTAATGCTAAACAAGTTTATAACTTTATATATGTCTTGTTGCCAACATGCCTTTTATTGATTCAGATGTTCATAGCTTCCATCCATACAAACTATGTTGATTGCACAAGGTGGCTTGGTGATTTTATTCTTTCAAAGGTATTATAAAATAAACTGAGATTTCGTTTATAATTAGATTGATCTCATTCTTTTGGGGTCAGTTTAAAACCTGAGAAAACATATAAAAAAATAAATAGGTAAGAAAAACTAGAGCAAAACGAGAAGGAAACAAAAGGGAGGCAATAGTACTAGGCCAAAACTAATGGATTTATTTTAGATATTTGTTTACTCGTTTTATTATTTTATTTATGTCTAGGGTGTGAAGATGATAGATCACTTCAATTTCACAGAAATTACAGAAGAAATTCAAGAACAACGTGATAGACACCGATAATCGATACTCAGAATTGTAAAGAATCAGTAAGAAATTGATCAAGAAAGAGATCAAGAAGAGTTTATTGATGTAGAAGAAGAGTACAGAACGTCGTATACAATGCCTAGGACTATTCGAGATGCCCAATCTCCCAGCCTATTCTCTACAGAATTCTTGCCTACCATTCTTAGACTCCAGACTTCTATTTATAGTACTTCTATTTATAATACAAGCCCACTTATTATTATCTACAATAATAGGCCCACTTATTATTATCATTGGTATCAGAGCATTACGTTTCTGGTGAACGGGACTGTGATCGGAAAAGTTACGTGGATTGAAGAAACTCTCATCGTTCGAACTGTGAATGGTCAGAACGAGAGGCAAGATGGATCATAGATTGGAATCGCTGGAGCGAAATCATCAGGATATGAAATCGACGCTGGAGATTATCGCAGCGAAGATGGATGCGATGGTGGAACAATTCCAGAACAGAGGAAGGTCGCGATCTCCTCAACAGCTTCATACGCGAGTGGTTACTACTGGGTCGAAGATGTCTTCACCATCCGCTCCTCACACTTCCAGTTCTAAGGCTTCGTCACGAACTGTTTATCCTCAATCATCTTCATCGCAAATCTTTTCTCCCAGTTCGCAAACTGTATCGCAAACTCCTCAGCAACCTCATACGCGAGCTTCGATCAGTCCAGTAGCTTCAAGAGGTAATTCAGTTCATTCTAATGTTCATAATCATGGGCGTAGTGATGAACATATTAGAATACCTGGTGGAAAGGTAGATTTACCTCTGTTTAATGGCGAAGGAGCCTATAACTGGATTATGCAAATGGAGAGGTATTTTCGGTTAAATGACTTTGAAGAGGAAGAGAAGGTTGAAGCTGCTAGGGTCGCTATGGAAGATAGGGCTTTGAATTGGTTTCATTTGTGGGAAAATCGGACTGAAGAAACTAATTGAGACACTCTGAAGAAATCTATCATTCGTAGATTTCAACCTGAGTTGATTTCTTCATCCGCCAGCAGTTCACGACCAAGTAAGACTCTATCGAGAGAAGCTTCTTGTTCGCAGATGTCATCGAAAACTGTTTCAGCTTTGTCGCGAAAAATAGCTCCCAGTTCTCAGGTATCAACAGTCCTGCAGGAGTCTGTGAGGGAGCAGCAACCATCCTTTGATGATAGAAGTGCTTCTTTTGTCAAAGAAAATGCAGAGAAGTGCACTAAGGGCGACGATGAAAGCAAGGAAAAGGCATCAGATGCCGCTGAACCTAAAGGTTTATCTAGTGAAAGAGTAGTTCAAGAAAGGAGGTGTGCTCAAGCCAAGGCATTATCATGGTTCTGGAAGGCGGTCAATCAGGGCGAGGCAAGGTCAATGGAACTTCTCGGTGATATATATGTAAAAGGAGGAGTTGAGAGGAACTACACCAAGGCAATAGAGTGGATATCACTTACTTCCAAGCAACAATTTTATTCGGCTTATAATGATATGGACTATTTCTACATGAAAGGTTATGGGGTGCGGAAGAAGTATGCCCCTACAAAAGATCATTTGGAGAAGGGTGATGATAATGATGAGCTTCGTGGGTTCTCCAACATTGGGGTTATGTATCTGAATGAGCTTGGGGTTAAAAGGGACTTGAAGCTAGCCGGCAAGTATTTGACAGGGGCTGCTAATGGGGGTCAACGAGTAGTCTACACTTGTATATCCTCCATGCTGCAATTCAAACAGGAGACTAATCAGAGGGATACAGTAATAAAATTGGTTAGCTTGCTGGAGGATATCTTTGCTATGCTCAAATATATAATCAAGGAGGCTTTTCAACCAGTATTTCTGGAAGTCCTAAAGATGTCTACTGATAGAACAGCTGAAGTTCAGATGGGTGTCCTTGCAAAGGTTAAAGCTGGTTTGCTCTGTTATCCCTTTAGAGATGAAACTCCTCAGATTGTTTCTGTTTTATGGAAGATACTGCTGGATTATGATGAAGATGCTCATAAGCAAATAAAAGTTGTTTTTTGTGAGGAAGTAGGGTGTGCCTTATCCTCAATATGCTCTGAAAGAATCAAACTCATGACTGAGAGACTTAGAGAACAGTATCTACTTGTGAAAAGATATACCTTGGAGAGATCAGATGCTTTTGAACTTGTTCAAGGTCTTGAGCAAAGTGAGGTCAATTCTCTTGAAAAGATGTGGGAACAAAGGCAAAGGATACAACAGGAAACACAGATGCTGGAAGATGCAAACTTTTGCAACATAAGAGAACATTCTGCCTCCACGACCTTGTTACTACTCCTTGCAGAGAAGAACATGAAGATGCAGCTTCAAGTACTGAAGCTAAAGATCCAGAATGCAATGTTGTATTGGGAAGGAAGAGGTGCTAGAATGAAGTGCAAGTGGGAGATCATGGTTGATTCCTATCACCCACCTTGAGGACAAGGTGGTTGTTTAGGGGGGGAGTATTGTTAAGAATGGGCCTATTATTAGAAATAATAATAAGTGGGCCTATTAATGTAGATAATAATAAGTGGGCTTGTATTATAAATAGAAGTACTATAAATAGAAGTCTGGAGTCTAAGAATGGTAGGCAAGAATTCTGTTGAGAATAGGCTGGGAGATTGGGCATCTCGAATAGTCCTAGGCATTGTATACGACGTTCTGTACTCTTCTTCTACATCAATAAACTCTTCTTGATCTCTTTCTTGATCAATTTCTTACTGATTCTTTACAATTCTGAGTATCGATTATCAGTGTCTATCACAACACAGCAAACTTTATTAGAGGATATCAAGCAACAATGACCGAAGCCCCAAAAGAAAGAGACGACTAATCTCTAACTTTCCCAGTCCAGACTACAATAGTCAAACAGCCTACTAACTATCCCCAGCTTTATTCTATTTATAGTATTACAACTCAACCGACTTTAGTTAATAGCTACTAACAGAAAACAACTAATAACAAACTATTCTATTTATTTCTTCTAGTATCTATCCTTATTACTAAAAGTAATCCAAGGTGGGTGATAGGAAACAGCCAAGATCTTCTGCTCCCTCTTCATCCTGGTGCTTCTACCTTCCCACATCTCACTGGTTTCTGAGCCGTGAACTTCCCTACTTGACTTATCCTCCTCACTTCTTCTAGCAAAGGCATCAATAGATTCTCTACCTTCAAAGCATCATTACCACTTGGTTTTTTTTGATAATTCTGGAACTGGGCTTTACTAATCACCAACTGCTCCATGTTTCCTTTGTTAATAGCTTTAACTACCAGATATAACTCAAATCCTTGAATTTCAGTTGATTCATTCCTTGAAATTTTAACCTCTGTCATGTATTTCTGGGGACTGTATGGTCTGATTGTGGTTATGCTGTCTCCCTCTGTGATATTTATTGCATGATCACATGGTCCTTCAGGAAGCAGATCTAGAGTTGATTTTAAGATTTCAGGAAATTTTTCCACCATTGCATGATCACTGTGACAGTTTTCAATGGAACATCCATCTGATTTAGGGCAGTTTCTCCTTGGATAATATAATTCTGCTTCTGTTTTCTCCATTTTAAATTCTGGTTCTGAAAGTTAACTTCCATATCTCCTAGGCCAGTTAACCACTCCATTCCCAGCATCACATCAATTCCACCCAAGTCCAGAATGTAGAATTTCTGCAGAATGTCAATTCCTTGTATATTCAATGTTACTCCTTCACATCTGCCATGGTTGATTAGAAATTCTCCATTCCCTATCTGCACTTCATAACCCTTAATACAACTAAATGGTATCTTCCATTTATCCACAACATTCTGTGATATGAAGTTGTGGGTAGCTCCACAATCAACCAAAATATTCACCTTCTTTTCCTCAGTCAGCCATTTCAGATTCCCCAGGACTTTGAATGTTCTCATGAATGGTATTCCTTCCTTGCTCAATACAGATAATTGCATAGTCCTAGCTTCCATATGTATTCCTTCTTCTTTATCTTTATTATAGTCAACATCAGATTCTTCCTCCCCTTCAGATTGTTCCACAAGCATCATTTTAAAAAATTTCATACTGCAAATGTGACCCCTATTCCAGTTGTCACCACATTTAAAACATAACCCTTTTTTACTTCTTTCTAGTAGTTCTTCTTGTGATAGCCTGGAACCATTTCTTTTCAGATTCTGATTTTTCACTTCATTATTGATCTTGCTGTCAATTGAGTTCTTCACAGATGGATTTGTAGAGTTCATGCTATAGCTTCTTCTACTACCATCCCCCCATTTGTTGTAGCTCTGTCCTCCAGTCATTTTATTCTTCCAGATTTTCTTCCCTTCATCCTTGTTTCTCCGGGACAAAGCTTCATCGTTTTTATGTTCAATTAATAGTGCTGTGTCCATGATATCAGCCAAATCTCTCGCATGATAGAGCTTTAGCTCAGCTCTAATATCCTTCTTCAATCCATTCAAGAAAATACCCTTAGCTACCTTCCTGCTCAAATCACCTTGAGAAGCCACTGCCATCTCGAACTGTTCTCTATATTCTTTCACCGTTCCCTTCTGTTTGAGACCTAATAAGGGACCCAATGGATTCTGAACGAATTCCGGTTGGAATCGACGAGTTAAAGCTGCCTTTAAGGTTCCCCAGTTCCTCTCATGCGTCTGGTTCTACCATCCTTGGAACCAGCTCAATGCTTTGTCATAGTTACTACCGCTACATTGACCTTATCCTCCTCCTCGATATGGTTAAGTATGAAGTAGCGATCGATTCTTATCAACCAGCCATACGCATCTTCACCGTTGAATAGTGGCAGATTAATTTTTCGTCCACTTCGGTGGTGGTGACCTTGTTCCCTGTGAGGATGGTGATGGCGGTGCGGTGGTGAAAATTTATCATTTCCTTCTGAATCATCAGAACTCTCTGATTGACGCGAATGATGGTGAGAAGTACGATGCGAAGTACTTGATCGATGCGAATGACTCCTCGATCGACCTGAAATTTTGTTCTGCAAATCTGCGATATTAGCTTGCATCGTCGCTTGCATAGCCGCTTGCATCGCGGCCATACCTTCTGCCAGATTCGCCGCCATATTATCTTGCATCTCTCTCAGATTTCTTTCCATACTTGCTTGCATCTCCCGTTGACTCCTTTCCATTTCCATCAGTCGACTTTACATTTTCGCACGCGTTACGGTCATCCAGCGATCAAATGCGCTCTGATACCACTGATAGATCACTTCAATTTCACAGAAATTACAGAAGAAATTCAAGAACAACGCAGCAAACTTTATTAGAGGATATCAAGCAACAATGACCGAAGCCCCAAAAGAAAGAGACGACTAATCTCTAACTTTCCCAGTCCAGACTACAATAGTCAAACAGCCTACTAACTATCCCCAGCTTTATTCTATTTATAGTATTACAACTCAACCGACTTTAGTTAATAGCTACTAACAGAAAACAACTAATAACAAACTATTCTATTTATTTCTTCTAGTATCTATCCTTATTACTAAAAGTAATCATACCCTATCAGAATAAGAAATTTGAATATTTGTTGATTAAAAAAACTAATAAAAGTATATTTTAATTTGTAATTCCCAAGTTAAAAACAAGCATAAGAAAGTAAAACCTCCCTTAGCATTTTTCTTATCATTTTTCGTGATCCAAATTATACCCTTGAGTTAGTGAGTTTGCAAGTTGCAACCGTGTCAATCTTATAACATGGTAGCTTTTGGGGTTACTATTTCTATAATCTTTTGTGGTGGCACAAACTTATATCATTTTTTATGGGTGTAAATTTCCATAAATGTTCTGGAGTTCTTTCTCTAGAGTGTCGACAATGAGATTGTATTATGGGAACCAAAGATGAAGGAGCATTCTCCTGGCGAGGTTAGGCTTTCTGTTTCGTTTTTGTTTTGGGCTTTCTTTCTTCTTTTCTGAAGAATTTCTTTTCCATTACACTGAAAATCTAAATGATCATTTTGTAGGGTACAGTTGACATCCTTCAGAAATATCCAGTCCCAGAGTGTGACATATGGTTCATCAAGTTCTCATGTGATTTCAAATACAAATCAGCTGCTATAGGTGAATAATATCAAAGTATTATTTATCAATTTGACATTTACCATATCCCCTAGTAGATGATAAAATTGGGATGACTGTTGACCACATGGGTTGAGCTTATCTCAGGAATTATTGAAGTCCTTGTGGGCTTAGCCTACTGGCAAACCACTGCTCGGTCCAACCTCAGGGGTGCAACCCATGTATTCCATCACACTATTTGTTTCTTCTGCATGAAAGTTGTTGATGGATAGACTCTGATTTAACTAATTGCTACCTGTTAAGCTTAAACTTAATCCCAACAACACACAAAGAGTTGAAGTATGAACTTACTATTAAAATATATATGCGATAAGATTGGACGCGTAAAACATTTCGTATCCTATCATCATTTTCATTTACCCCAGTGCCTCAAAGGCTCCCACTACGATGGGGTAAGGGGGGGTCGGATGTACGCAGTCTTACCCCTATACTAAAGCACAGAGAGACTGTTTCCGGATGACCCATAGTGAAAATCGCGTCCAAAATTGCATGGACTGACTGTTGCTTCATAACAAAGAAGCACAGACAGTTTAGTGAGCCATTTTGCTTTATTCCATCATAATCTCAAGCCAAAAAATAATGAATCTTTGGCTCCATTCCAAATGATGGAAACAGTCTCTCTGTGATTTAGTATAGGGGTAAGACTACGTACATTTCGTATCCTATATTTTTTGAAATTACATTTCTCGTGTTTCCCATTTTCCGTTTCCCGTTTCGTATTTCTGTTATAGATATGTGAGTGAATTCCCAAGTGGGATACTTCAACAATGCCGCGTTTCTTCGTAAACTTCTCTGTTTGATTTTTTTGTTTGTTTGATATTTCAATCTATATATACTAGGAAATAGGGAAGGGAAGATCTACCTTTGGGATCTACAAACCAGCCCCCCTGCTCTCATTGCCAGGTTCGTCTACTTATGTTATAATTTTCTTGAAGAAATATAAATCTTTAAGTTGGGTAATCTTTGACATGCATTTAAGACCTTTTGAAAAATTATGTAGTCAGTTTGTTGGAATGTTACTTCACTTAATGTTGCAGTTCTTGGCTTCTAGCTTCCTAATGGTAGTCGCCTAGTTGGAGTGTTGCATCACTCAAATGTCTAATAACTTGTGCAGAATTGTAAACACGCCTGTTAGTCTAGGTAGGATAGGCATCATCCAAGAAGAAAGCTATGTTTTTTTCTTTTTTAAGAAGATCATGACAACATTCTTTTGAGATTAGGAAAGTATCTCCCTTGGGGCTCATGCTCTACATTCTTATATGTATATATATTCAATTTTTCGAGTGTAAATTCTTGCAGGCTATCTCATGGTCAATCAAAATCTACAATTAGACAGACAGCAGTGTCCTTTGATGGGAGGTATTTGAGTTTGATCATTTTAGCATTTACTTATAATGCGATACAATAATTTAACTAGTGAAAGTGATCATTAAATATTTATTAGTTATTCATCTTTCTTGGTTCAGCACCATTCTTAGCTGCTGTGAAGATGGAACCATATGGCGCTGGGACGTTGTTGCAAGTTCCTGAAATCTTTTTAACGCTAAGTTTGTGTTGCTTTGGTTTATTATTACTGTGGATTTTAATGAAATTAGGATTCATAGTTTTTGGAATCCATTGTTTTCTCACTATGGGCTAGTGAAAAAATCTGAGAAGTTGATTTAAACGCATTCAATGTGTTCATATTGCCAAAGGTGGTAACAAATCTACACGCTGGTTCCATGTGAACTCAAGAGTATTTTTATATTGGTAACCTGGACCTAATAAATTGTGCTCCCAGGGGCGGATCTTCCGGGAGGCAGGGGGGCGGTGCCCCTGCTTTGGCCGTGCGAGCTAGGGTATAGGTAGGGGTTGGGGGCCGCTGGACCGATCCGTTGTTTTCCGGCGAGCTTGGGAGCTTGGGCTGTTGTTTTCCGGCTGGAGGACTGGGAAGGTCAATGGAGCAAATGAGGTAAGCGAGGTTTTTTTTAATGGTACGGTGTCGTTTGACAGTCAGGGAAAAAAATAAGGGTCAATTGGACAAGGCAGGTCCAAGTGCCCAACAGCCCAAACGAATTAAAGTGCACAGATCAAGCCAAGCAGCAAACAACCTCCCTCAAAAAATAGCGAACAACCAGTGCCCAACAAGGCTACGGAGAACTCGGAGACCACCCCTGGCGCAAGCGCAAGCTCAAGCCAGTGAGCCACACAGCCACACCGGAGCGCTGTGCGTCCGTTGCCCCACTCGCTCAATCCCTTCCGCCCTCTGTCGTCCACCTGTGACATGTCCGGTAGCCGGTAGGTTTTCCGTTTTACCATTTTTTAAAAAATAAATTAAATATTTGGTGTTTCATTATTATTGAGTTTTTTACATTCATAAATATGACTAGAAAAATATGTAGTGTAAATTATTTTGAATTAAATCTAATGATTATGTATTAATGTATTCTTGGTATTAAAATATAAATTTATAATAGTTTGAATTAATTATTTTTATTTTCAGTAATTAGTATAAGGGAAGGTCAATTGAGAATAAAAAAAAGAATAAAAAAACAAAGAAAGAAAAGGTCGATTGAGAAATATTTTTCCCTGACTAAAGCACCGATAAGTTCGGGTGCTAGTTCTTCAAATGTTTATGTTCGAGCTACACCTATAGATATGGATGATAGTGAGAGTGGGAGTAGGATTAGACAATCTATTGTAGATTAAATTTTATTGGTGTGGTTTGTTAAATTATTTTATAGTTCCGCCACTGCTTGCTCCCATTGACTTCTTGAAAGAACTCGTCTAATACCGCACCGCACCACCACCCATAATAGAACACATCTTAACTGACACTCATATGACTTTAATAAGGGATATATATCACCGGTTGTATGGTAGCACTTCGAGCTAGTGTCCTATTTTTACTTTCGAGTATGGTGAAAGCTTAGTAACTCATAAAAGCTACAAAAATGGGCAGTTTTAGTTTTTACAACTTTGATAGTTTAGATTACGCGCGCACTTGGTCCCAGTTCAGTTCGGTTCAAGTCCCGGACTAGTCGATCCCAGAGAATTTTTGTGAAGCTCGGGCCTGGCTCGGGCCTCGGTACAAAGGGTCTCGGTCTGGTTTCGGGTACTCGATCAATTCCAGACTGATTCTGCCAATGTTTTTTTTGTAATTACTGTTATTTAATAATATTAAATTAATGCAAACAAGAAACTATACAAATTAAAATTAAATGCAAGTTTATTTGTAACATTAATTGATTTGTACATTTATAAAAAAGATATCCCCACCTTCTTGCTCGTCCTCCACTGGTTGCGCTTCCTCGGTGGCGACGTCCCCCAACTCTTTGTAAATTACGAGGATGATTTCTTGATTTAGAAACTACCCGCCTTATTGCGACAAGAGTTGCACTATTTGTTCGTCCGACATGGCATCTGTAGAATCAAAATTTGTCTCCCAATCATCATCATCATTAGCTCAAGAAAAAGAAAATGTAGCCCTGACTTGACGTTTACCAAGGGAACTCGAAGAAAGATGAGAACTTTAAATATCCTTCTTACGATTGTCATCCCAACGATTAGTTAGCCCGATTAGTTAGCCCGTCCGGCCACCCCCCTTGAAGGTTAAAAACAAAATAATAAAAGATGACCGCTAGGATAAAAATCGGGATTGACCGGTGGGGTCCCAAATAGGGGGAGTGGACCCGGTCCTGGATCCAGTCCCAGACCGGGCTAGATCAGCGGACCAGGACAAGCCCTACTCCCAAATACCATAACACAAGATGGGTACCCCATATACCCATGACTGGGTACCTCGTATACCCGATCAGTACTCGATCTTAGTCCGAGACTGAAAAACGGATTTGGTCTGATCTCAAACATTACCGGTTCTGAATCGAGCCTATTTCAGAATATTTAACGCTCAGTGTTCAAAAATTAGATTGTACTCCCTCCGTCCCATTAGAAGGTTCTCGTCCACTATTCTCATGGTCAACTTAAATCATTTTTAATCTTTTACTTTTTAAATCAAATTTTTACCAATTTTACATTATTTTTATCAGGCTTTGCAGCGGTTTTAATGTAGTTTCTGAATATGTTAATTTTATTTACTAAAAATAATCAGAATGTGAACAGCGATTAAGTTGCTTTATCGTCAGTCAAGCATCGTAAACCGTTCACGGGAACCTTCTAGCGGGACGGAGGGAGTATAAATGAATACACATAAATGTAGCAGAAAATGTAGACTACTTGTGAACATTTAAAAGTCATTGGGTCTCTTTTAAATGCTATCAGACTATTCTCAACTTTATTTGGCCTCTTTTAAATGTCATTGGGCTAATTTTAATTATACTGTGCTACTGATGATGGTTGTTGGGCCTTATCAAAAGTAAGATATTGATATGGATCACTTGGACCATTTAAAGTTATCCATTTAATATAATATTTGAAGCAATGGATCGGTCCTATTAAACTCTACCTTTGAGCCCAATATTAAATAGTGGCCCTAAATATGAGAGACTTGATCCAACTTATGAAGAGGACAAATTTAGTTATGAAATCCATCGAAATGCATGGAAAATAAGTGTGACTTTTGTTAAGAAAGTTATCTAGATACATTGCACAAGTGCTGATTATTTCTAGTTATGAAAATACAAGTAAATGGAGATCAAATCCCATTATTAAAGCCAAGAGATATGGGCGAATTTGTGAAGCCCATCGTAACCTATAAATAGGGGTTGAGGCAAATGAGGGAGAACTTTCAAAAGAATTCCCTAGAAGAGAGGGTGATCAAACCACAAATTTTATTGAGAATAAAGGAATAATTCTTCATGATTTCATCCATTCTTGATCCAAGTCCATATTTCAAAAAACATTCAAAGATCTGAAGAAGGAAACCTTGAAAACTCAAATATTTGAAAAATGAAATTTTGAAGATTCGAAGAATGAGTCTTTGAAGATATTCATATCAATATTCTACATTCAATTGAAGATGAGTCATATAACCCAGGAATTCCTTTAACATATGGATGGATTCGGGCCGGGTCGGGCCCGGGCCGGGCCTAGGCCCGGTCGGGCCGCCGGTTCAAGAACAGTGGGCCCGGGACCGGCCCGAGGGTTGGACGGGTCTGGTTCGGGCCGGGCCACCCGCCCGGGTCACGGGTCGGGTCCGGTTCGGGCCGGGCCGGTTAATTTTTTTTTTATAATTTATATTTTATAGTTTATAGTTTTATACGAGTATTAAAAACAAACTTCAATTGCATTTATTTGAAATGAAATAGGAACTACATTTGAAAATTAAAACAAACTTTAAGAGATAAACATTTTGAAAATTGTAATCAATCGAAACTTCCCGCACCTCCCGATCCTTTGGCTTTGTCACATGACTTCATATGCTTGATTGCCATCCCGAATCCGCCTGAAGCCCCCATGATACATTTTTTTTTCCACCGGTTCGGGCCCATACCCGGTCCTGGACTGCCCGACCGAGCCGGTCCCGGGCCCGCACAGTACCGGGCCGGGCCAGGTCACGGGTCGGGTGGCCCGAACCGAATCCATCACTACTTTAACATAAGTTCAAGTCACAAAACAACCCTTTTATTGAATATTAAACTATTTGAAGACCGAAGACTCTTCAAACAGAATCTACATTTAAGAACATTCAAAGATTCAAACGAAGCTTTGAAGCACAAAAGGGGAGGATGTAAATTGAACTAAAAGGGGAATTTATTGGTAGTCTAGAATTAGAGATGAATTATAAATAATGAGGATGACATTTACAACACAACTATTAATTCGAGAGGTGTCATTTACAGTCTCAGAAACACAAGTCTGACATTTCAATATGGTGACTAATTGAGAGAGAAAGTGTAATTTTCCCTAAAAACAATTCATCTCGAAAACAAGACTTGAAAATCTAAAAAACATGTGAATATGAAAAATTAAAGATTTAAATTTGACTTAAAATTTTAAATATATTTATTTCAAATTGTAAGTGAAGAATTACGGTACCGCACATTTTGATATGCCATCAGCTTTAAGTAAATAGTTAAAAAAAATCAAACTGTCATTAGTCACTACACAATTAATGAAAATAATATTGAAAGTTGAAAGCCATCTAGTAGAGAAATTAATTTATAAAGGTCATAACTATTTGTCCCAACTCCCAGTGAGTACAATGGGAGATACTAGCGCTATGAAAAAATGTGTTTGGTAGGGATTTTGGTACAAACCCAGTTTCTGCTCCGCTGTACACATCTCAATAGGAGAAGACTGAAAACGGCATTACACATCTCACTCAATACAACGGTGCCCGCAGGGCAGTAATACAAACACATATCTCGAGTATATATATTTATTTATATCTTCCATCAGCCAAAGCTAAGGCGAGAATCCGAAATTCGCAAGCTAGTTTGACGCTTTGGGACCCCAATCTCACAAGCATTCACACGTGCTGCAAAGCGCAGAGAACACAGCGATTCCGCAGCCGAAGCGGGATCAGGCGAGACATTCACAAACATCATGGTCTTCGAGTCCCCCACCAAACATGGCTAAACATAATACAAATACTCGGTCAGGGAGATTAATGTCACTTTGCCTAACAGAAAATATTTATGTGAGGGTATCAAGAAATGTATAAGAAGTGGAAAAGGAGTTGGATTTTTAAATAATAAAGGGTATATATCGACACAGGAAAAAAGGAAAAACTAAAGAAAAAGCAAGGGAGAGGAAGGAATGCAACAGCTTGCTGGTGAAGGGTTTTTACAATCTGTTATATGAAACCAATATTACATATATAAAATATAAAAAAAAACTGAATTGTTAACTGTTATTCAAAAAAAAATATCCATTGTGCCTCCATAAATAACAGAACTTTACGTGAACTCATTTTACTTTTTATTAAAACTGAAAAAAGTAAAAAAAAATCATATTCTTATCGAAATGTGTCTATTTTAATTTCATAATTATTCAAAAAAACTAATGTTTAAATTTTTATTGACGAAATTTAATAGTCTATAAATTGCTTTTATATCAACGTCCATATTTATTTAGATTTTAAAACAGATGCTAATAATCTAACTCTCATAGAATTTTAAACCTCTCATTTCCAACATTATTATTGTGTATACGATTTCAATCAAACACTGTTAACTTCCACATTTCAAACCCAATTGTAGTGTCAAAGGAAAATTAATGTCTAGAAGATTCCTCTCGTCTTTTCTATCTTCCTTTACCGCTTTTTATCTGTTCTTGAATTATCCTCGATTTCCTGATTAGTAAAGAATTAAGCATATACGTAGTATGATACGAAGTATATGATATTATTTCTTTCCTTAGGATCAAATATGAATCAGAGTTTTGATCAAAGTGATAAGATCATTCTTATATTTCCATCCTACGTTTCCTCTAGATTTTTAAATTTATGATATGGAATGCTTGGAAAAATGAGAAATTCGATTTCCGATAATCTTGCATGCAGAGTATAAAAAAGTTCGAAAAGG